GGGGGGGGGGGGGACGGTGGTGGCCCCGGGAGGCAGGGATGGGGTTGAGTGGGGAGTTGGGCGTTTGCGCGGGCAATACATGGTGCACTGGAAAAGAGGTGCGAGGAGTCTCGATGCAGTGGAGCAGGACGGCGCATGGTGCGGGGTTGGGAGACTCGACTCTCAACCCTGCACGCCGCAGTGCACACAAACGGTGGGTACCAGGCATAAGAAGCAACGATGAGCCAGGTTTAGGGAGCTGTGCGCCCCCATGCGTCAAATCATGTCGAATCGCATGGGGCCGGGGCCTCGGGGAGGGGGGGGGGGCGGACGGCGATGCCTCACCTCGGGAAGTAGACCGAGGGCGCTCCCGGCAGGCCCAGGTCGCCGCCCTCGTCCCTCGTGAACTCTGGCAGGGCGTACCTGGCAGACACAAGGTGTTGAGGGTGGGTTGGGGGGTGGAGGTCCGAGGAAGCCAAGGGCGGAATGCTGCGGGCGGAGGTGGAGAGGCCCCGCAACCCCTCCGGCTGCGTAGCAAGGGGTGGGGGTGGAGGCAGCTCCTGGCGGCTGCCTGGCTGCACGAGGCGGGGAGAGAGTCCCTGATGGCACCTGATACCGCCTCGATGCACACCCGACGCACACCGCCTGCACAAGCGCATCGCTGGGCCGCCACAGGAGCCCCCACAGCCAGCAGTCAGCTGCCAAGCTGACGGCGGCGATTTGCCCCAGCATAGCCGCCTCTTACCCGACTTCTCAAGGCAATGCTACTGCGTTCTTTCACCCCAAATACATTTTCAGACAGGCGTCACTTGTAGATGCTTCATATGCTCCTCTTAATTCCGCCCCGAACAACACCGGAACCTGCCACCGGCCCCAACCTGTAGAAGCTCTTGAGGGGCATGTCTGACAGGTCCAGGCGCGGGTTGAGGTGCAGCTTGATGGACACCGCATCCCCCAGGACCTCCTTCACAAACGACAGCACCTGGAGCAACGGAAGGTGGGTGGTCACGAGGGCCACGGGGCTCAGTGTGTGTGTGTGAGCATGTGTGTGCAAATGTGTGTGTATGTGTGTTTTGCAACAAGCTGGTGCGGAGCCGTGAGCGTGTGCAAATGGGAAGACGCTGCTGCCGCGCGTTGCACAGAGGTTCGTGGAGCCCGGCAGGCAGGACGGGGCGCGTGGGGACTCGCGGGCGGGCGGGCGCGCGCGGGGGCCCGCGCCTGGCTCATGCGCTGCGCCTCGCGGGTGAGGGGGTTGGTGATGGCCACCATCTGGAGGAACGTCTCCGCGTTCTGAAGGGGAGCGCGGGTGGGGTTGGAGTGGGTGGCGTTGAAGGGGGCGCGGGGTAAGGTCATCGGGTGACGAGGGGGGGTTGGAATAGCTGGGTTGTGCTGGGTGCGAGACGGGGGCGGGGTACAAAGTAGGCATGTGCGGTCGTGGTGGTGCAGATGACACGGTCGAATAAAGCGCGAGAGAGCCGTGCACGCCTTGGCCAGACTCTCTCCTGCGCACTCCCCTGCCTGCCGTGGTGTTGCGCACGCCAGGGACGGCCTGGCATGGGTGTGGCCCTGGCTCACCTCCTTTGTGCCTGCCTCTATGGCCTTGCCCTGCAGCATGCCCATGACCTCCGTGATGCGCTTGGCCTGCAGGGATCCGAACCTGGGGGCGCAGTCAGGGCGCGGTCAAACGCAGTCAAACACTGTCAAAACATTGTGGAATGCAGCTGGGGACGCTGCAAACATGCAAGCTTGTAACAGGCAAGTGCTAGCAAGGAAGCACATCGCATGCACTAGTGGCCACGCAAACGAGGCCTGCCATTAAAACCAAGGATGCGCAGGCAGCCCTCCCCCAATTTGCGGTGCTGTGCTGCGTCGCTGCAGGCGCCGGCATTACCTTGACAAACGCCCCTCACCTGCTGTCGGGGTAGACCTGCGCGCCCACCGCGCTGGCTGCCACAAGTGCTGCGTCATTCAATTTCGAAGGGGTCATGTAGCCATTCGCCTTGGCCTTGACTGTCTTGGCGATGGCGGAGCCTGTTTGTGGTTTGCGCCCAGGGAATGGGTGATGAATCCGTGAGCGGTGTGCGCGCGCAGGCATGCAGCAAACTGGTCGGCGCTGTCACACAGCAAAGCGTGGCGCTGCGCGGACTGCACAGTGGTAGAACAACTGCAGCCAGACGCAATGGAAGGCACGCTGCCCCTCACAACCTCCCCCTACCAGGCTGTCGCAACTCGCAATCGCAGAGAAGCCCCGAAAGAGCTCGCCCTGCTGCTACCGCTGCACCTTCACAACAATGTTGAAGCCCACCAAGCTGACTCCGGCGACATCCTCAAAGCGCAACCCAAACCCCTGGATGACTCGAGCTCACCGGCCTGTATGTCCTGAGCGTACATCTGCATCAGCCCAAAGTCCTCAGCTGTCAGCCCCGTCAGCGCCCCCACCCCGCCGCCGCCGCCCGCCGCGCCGCCGCCGGCCCGCGGGCTCCAGTCGGGTATGACGCGCCCGTTAGTAATCACAACCGCCGCGCCGGCCTCCACGCCCAGCGGCCCGCGGGCGAGCTGGGTCATGAGCGCCACGTCGCTGGCGGCTGCCTCTAGCATGTACGAGTCGATGCTGCCACCCATCAGCTCGATGACATCAGCGTTGGCAGCTTCCTCCTCGAGGGCTCTGGCTTCCTTGGCCAGCGCGAGCAGCTTCCCAGCCAGCTCCGCCTCGCCCGGCGCGGCCGAGAGCGGCGCCGCCGCCAGCGCCGCCCCGGCCTCCGACCACAGCAGCTGCCGCAGCAGCTTGAGCAGCTTCCCGTCGGCGGCGTCCTCGCCTGCGGCGGCGTACGCGCGCAGCGCGCGCGCCGCCACCGCGTCCAAAGCGGTGGCGGCGCTGGTGGCGCCAGCAGCCCCTGGCTTCGACGCCGCGGGCGCCAAAATCAGGGCAACCCGCGCCTGGCGCGCCTCGTCGTCGTCGTCTACCCCCACAAGGCGGTCCAGCGCCGCGGCGGCCAGTGCCCGGCCCCTGGCGCGAAGAGCGGCGCATTTGCGAGGGCGGGGCAACGGACGGCGTCGGTGCGCGGGCGGGCGCGGCGGGCGAGCACGCGCGTGGCACTTGGCACTGCCGCAAATGGCAGGCACTGGCCTTTCCCAGCTCCCCGGCCTTCGTATGCCCTTCCTGACTGGATACGATCGCACACAGTAGCAGAGGTGCAGCCCTCAAAGGCCTCAAATACACACGCACGCTGCGCGCGCACACGAGTAGATGCACACAACAAGAGTTAAGCAGCCGCGACACCCATCGCACCCCCTCACTCCCCCTCCGACGCACAAGCGCGCATTGCCGCTTCCCCACCACATTCATGACCGGACGCCCACCTGGGTGCCGCCAGGTCTACCACAACCCAATGCGTGGTCGCATGCACCTTGCCCGGCCCCCATGGCGCGGACGCCCCCTTCCCAGACGACTTCTTTGGCGCATACAGGTAGCTGAGCGCCGCCGCTCCAGGGTGCTTCACAGCCGCAAACAGCGGGAGCTGCGCGCGGGGCCGAGCGCGTGTTGGTTGGTTTGCGGCACAGGCGCTGCTCAAGAGCGGAATGGATGACTTGCAGCAACTCTCACATTTCCTGCTAGGCGCAGCGATCAGGTGCCGGTGAGTCACCCGTGGTGACCGCATGCGTCGAAAGACAGAGCTTGCCCCAATCAAATGCACACACATGCGCGCACACACACAGACACGAAGACACTCACAGACACCCCCACGCCCTACCTTGAGCGCGCCGCCCTCCTCGCCCTCTCCCTCGTCGTCGCCGGCTCCGAGGACCGCGGGGTTCCAGCGGCGCACGCTGGTGACGAGGTCCATGATGGAGGGCAGGAGCGGCTCCTCGTCGCTGATACGGCCGTAGTAGATTTGCTCCTGACGGCGGGGCGATTACCGCATGTGTGTGTGTGTGTGTGTGTATATTAGTCGTGCAGATACTGTGGATCTGTGCTACATCGCACTGCTGCAGTCATTGTCTTGGCCATACGTACAGAAATTACGTGGACGGATGTGTGGAGCTACGCAGAAGTGCAGTGCATAGCTGACCGCACTGAGGCACATGCCGCAAGCACCTAACCTACCTCCCCCCTCACTTGCACGAATGCACGTGTACACACACGCACACACAACACACACATACACGCACACCTGCAGGAACTGATGCTCCTGCGCCAGCATGAACGACACCTCGCGGTCAACATCGCGCCAGTCCGTCAAACCCTCCGGCAGCGCCTGCAGCGCACCGTTGACCCAGACGACCGACCTGTACAGCGGGGCAAGGCGCGCAGCAGCCGAGCGAGTGAGGCTAGTCAATGCACCAAAAAACATAGGAATCTTGGAAGGAGCGTGTGCGGGGTCAGCAGAGCGTCTGAAGCGGGGTCAGCAGAGGCAGACAGCCGCCAGGATGCGCAAGACTTCAAGCAAGGCAGCAGGCCGCCCTACTTGCTGCACACGCACAGAGGCAGCTGCGTGGATGTGATGCCTCAGGCCCCCAAGTCGCCCCACACCTGCCCATCTGCGCGAGGCCCTTGCGCAGCGCAAAGGCGGAGAGCTCAGCCAGCGCCATGCCGGCCTCGCTGCTGTACCCGGCCCCCTGCTGCAGGTCGGCCCACGCGTCTGACGGCGCCTTCTTTGCAGCAACCTGGGAGCCGTGCGCGAACGCGGACGGCCGGTTGTGGGCGTGTGCTGTGATTGGGCCCAGGTGCAGGGTTCGCGGGGCTCGAGGCGATTAGTCAGGATTGCCTGTGATACGCGACGGCAGATGCCTGGGGCGCTGCCCGCATCACACAAGAGCAGGCGCGCCTCCGCAGGTTTCGACAAAGCTGCTCACTCGCTCATGGAAAGGGGCGGCACCCTGCAAGGCAACCCCGTGCGTGGAGGCGCCCGCACCCTCTGCCCCCATGCCCCACTCGCCGCACTCTGCCGCACCTTGCCCTTTTTGGTGTCGGCCCACTTCGCTGCGTCCCCCCATGCTCCCTCAAATGCCGCTTGCAGCGGGGGCTCGGAGGGTGCCTTCTTCGCCTTGGCCTTTGCGCCCTTGGGTCCCTCGGCCGTCACGGCCGCGAAGCGCTCCCAGAACTCGAGGGCAGCGGGGCCGCCAAACGTGGTGCGAAGGGTGATGGATGCGCGCGCAAAGCGCTCCTGCTCGCTCATGTCCTGTTTGAGGGGCGTGAGTCAGGAAGCGTGTGCGTGCCAATGCGTGTATACGCGAGTGTGCATGCACGTGTGAGCACACTCGCGCATCAGCAAGGGCGAGGGACAGGGGATGCAAGAGAGACAGAGACAGGGAGAGGGTATGTGCATTTGTGTATGTTTATGTGTGTGTATGGGTGTGCGTGCTTGCACTAGTGTCCATGAATGACGCACATGCGAGCGCGTGCCGCTGGCGGCGGTATGACCATCCAAAAAGCAGATGGCACCGAGGCGAACAAGATATGGCAGCCCGGCGCACAGCCTCGCGCCCGCGCACCTTCCACGACGGCGGGTCCGCCACGGATGCGGCACCTGGACCGGCCCGTGCGGCGGCCGCCCTTACCAGGGCCTCGGGCACCAGCGGCAGCAGCGCCAGGCGGATGGGCAGCATCCTGTCCCAACAGTGTTGTTTGTGATTGGCGCCGACGTTTAGAGGACACCCTTTCTGGTTGCTGACTGATGGTGAACATCACCCAGGAGTCGTGCTGCTGTGTCAGCCCGGTGCACCAACAGACGACCCTGGTGCAGACCCACAAGATGAGGAGATGACGTGTACCCGAGGACACCGCAATCTCGGGCCCCTGATCACAAGACCAGCACGCTTGCACACGGATCATTCCACACATGCTTTGAGAGCACGGGCGCTCGCCTCTGGTGCGTCCTTGCAAAGAGGCGCCCCACGGCCAGGCCCTGGGGTGATGTCGGGTCCCCAATGTAGATCACGTTGAATGCGTTGACGCCCATGGCGCGCAGGCGGCCGGGGAACATCTGCGGGTGTTGAAGTGTGTGGGCGGCGGCGGAGGGCAGGACGACGAATGGAGGTGAGGGGGACGCATGGTGCGACTTCAAGGGCAGAGGAGGCAACGTTGTAACCAGCATGCAAACACTGCTCAGCACCCGGGCTTCTGTGCGGTTGTCCAAGACGCAACCCTGTGATTTGAAAACAACTCTGCACCCTGCCGGGCAAATGCAAAGCTTAATTGTACACATCCCCACCTACCTGCAGGAGCCCGTCTATGGAGTTGCCCGTGTACTTCATGCGCTTGTCCTTCTCCGGGTTGTTGAGCCACGGCAGCTTCGCGTAGGGCGCCAGGTCCAGGCGCGTTTCGCTGACACTGTCTGAGGAGTCCTCGGCACGCTCCCCTAGGACCTGGTGCGTGTGTTTGTGTGTTTGTGCGCGTACATGAGTCGCGTGCGCTTGTTTGTGTGTGTGTGTGTGTGTGTGCGTGTGTGTGTGTGTGTTGTGCGCGCGTGTTCATGTGCGCGTTCGCTCGTGCATGTGCATGCACGCGTGCGTGCCCGCGTGTACGCGCCCTACACAGGTTCCTGCAGCCGAGCAAACCACCCAAGCCGCTCACCGCCAGAGCGTGCTGCGGGAACAGGCCGCACTCCTGCAGCTGCCCCACCATCCGCAGCTCAATGCGGAGCCGGTCCAGGAACCCTGCACCAAAACCAACCACACATGCGGGCGTCAGCCAGGAGAACCATCGGACACAATGAATGCCGCGCCTCACGGCGCCGCAGCGCCTGCCCCTGGCTCGGCACCAACGCGCGGGCAGCCCCATGCGGCGGAGCGCGGCCAGCCCCTCCCCGGGGACCGCGCACCATACAGCTCAAAGTTTGTGACCTCCACGAGCATGCCGTTCAGCATCAGGATGTTGGCGCCGGGGCTGACCGTGCGCTGGTTCGCGGCCACCGTGCGGCGCAGGCTCGGGGGCACGGACTGCCGCGTCAGGCTGGAGACGATGTTGGGGAAGCTCTGGGGGTGTCGGCGGTTGGGTGGGTATGTCGTAACGACCATGGCGGGGCGCAGAGTGAGGCGCACGATCCTACTCAAGTCATGCAGGGCGTACTGAAAAAAACGCCTGCAGCAGCAGGCCCGACGACCGGGCAGCCCGTGTTTGGGTGGGATGCCCTTCACCGCAAGAACGCGGCCCTCGCGCCGCTGCCGTCGGCGCCGCACCTGGGACAGCTCCTGCAGCAGCGCCAGGGGGTCGCTGGACTGCGAGATTCGCGAGGTGGCCTGCAGCCCCGCATCCTTCAGGTCCCACACCTGGGTCACCGGATGATGGTTCAGCGAGGGATTCAGTTTTCAGTATTTGGGCTTGGTTGACGAGGGGCCGAGCAGCGCAAGAGTTGCAAGCTTAGCAATGCCAGCAAGGTGCGATCAAGGCCGACTGGGTAGCCCGCCTGCTTTGCCCCGGTCAACAAGACAGCGGCGCTGGGCGGCCGAGGCTACGTGCGGTTGTGAGGGGTCGTGCGTGCTGTGCATGCCAGAGGGCATGCCGGGGCGTGGCGCGAGGGCGAGCCGACCAGCACGGCGGCTGCAACGCCAACGCAGCAGCGGCTGCAGCAGTGCTAACGCTCGCCTTGATGGCGTCGTCGTCCTCGCCGGCCATGAGGGCGTCCCTGAAGGTCAGCAGCTCCTGGCGCAGCTCGGGGCGCCGCTTGACCAGAACATCAAACCTGGGGCCCACCCGCGATGCGGCGCGCGCTTTTGCCGCGCCGCCAACCATCAGCCAGTTCGCTGGTTCTCCATTTGCACGCACTCCAGAAAGCCTGCCTGCCCAACACTCTCTGTGCGGCTGACGTATGGACGAGCGCCAGCACGGCCACGCAGGCGCCGCACCCTCCGCCCTCACTCCTGCGGCCCCGCCAGCCTACCCCAGCCACGCAGGCGCCCCACCCTGTAGGTCGTCATGACTTCATCACCCCCTCACCTGAATCCCTTGACCTCCCCCAGGCTCGCGTCGTCAGCAAGAGCCGCGTCCTCTGCCGCCGGCGCCTTGTCGTCGCCGTTGCTCGCGCCCGCCCCCTCCTTCTTCTTGTCGTCCATTGCCGAGTACTCCATGTTCTTGAGGACCGCCTCCACGCCATAGCCTGAGAGAGGGGGCGGCAGGCATTGCTGAGATGAGTGCCAGCGTGGCGGTCCAAGGTTGTTGGCGGTCAGGAGAGTCCCGGGCCGGACGGGCAGCGCCACTGTTGGCCGGGACATCGCAACAGGGCTGGTGGCAGGACAAATGGTGCTGCATGGGCGCTGCGCTTCGAAGTGCCGTGCAGGCGCCGCTTGGGTGCTGGGCACAGGCAGCAGCTACCCCGCACCTGGCAGGACGAGCTGCTCCTCCGTCCCTGTCAGCAGGCAGTCAGCAGCCTGCAGACGGGCGAGGGGAAGTAATGGGTTGCTGCGGCAACATGCAACACGTCTTCCAAACAAAGCTCATACTTTTAAGGCGGGGACCCAGCGACTCAACCTCCCTGATTCCCCAAACACATGTACGACTCGTGTGGCCCGCCACCACTGCGCGCAAAGGTGAGGGACAGTGGTTGCCTGCAATTTTTGAGCCGCCAGAAGCAAACATGGCTCCAGGCTAGAGCCATGGTCTTCCCCTGCCAACACAATCCCACCTCCGTGGCCCTGCAAGCATCCGTCAGCAGCGGTCTGTGCGCATAAACCACGGGCCCGGCCGCCCTGTCAGCCGCCGCGCGTATGACGCCGCTCATGCGCTCGAAGCACTCGGTGCCCGGCGGCCCGTACAGGATCGCAACAGTGGCGCCTGCCAAGCGCAGGGAGGAGGGGTGGGGAGGCGTCTGCATGGCGCTCAACAGGTCAAAGGTACAGCAACTCATGAAAGGCTTGCCGCCCAAGCAATCTGGCACAACGCATGCATGCACGCATGGCCCACAGCGCCACCGGCGCCGCGTGTCCCGCGCCGGCCGCACCAGGCGCGTCCTTGTGCTGCGGGTTATAGACGTGGTCAAAATCGTGCAGCTGCGTGGAGTTGACCGCGGCGCCGGCGGTCGTGCCGCCCGTTGCGGTTTGCTTCAAGGAAGCTTCCAAGACATCCAAGTCCTCCGCACGAATCACGTGGCCGCCGACATTGGCAAAGCAGCACTCTGACGCCTGCGGGCCGTGGCGCGCGTGCAGCAGGGGCGTCGCAAGAGGCCTTTGCCGGGGGCGCCAAGAGGTTTGACGGCCGCCGCAAGGCGCACGGCCGCCAGAGTCACACGCAATTGCAAGGGTGCGGTACGAACCCCGGTCAGCAGCTGACTCAATCACGCTGCCATTGCACATGAGTGTGGTGCCGGGGCGGGCAATCCGAGACGCCGCACTCAGCAGACGTGTAGGAAACAGGTTCTGTGACCGGTGAAGCGGCCGGCTCACCACCATGTCTGGGTGTAGCTGCCCCGCCAGCTGCCGGAACAGCTCCAGCCGCGCGCTGTACTGCCGCACGCCCAGTGCGACCGGCAACAGCTGGGCGGGCCAAGGCAGGAGTGGGCGGGGATGGCATTTATAATGGCTGGAAGCCCGAAGCTGGTGTGCTAGACGTTGGGCGACATGTGCTGCTGCAGCTTTCCCTCCCCATAAACACACGGACGCTGTTGCTACATCACCAGCAGTGTGCTTTTGAGGCATCGGCCACAGTGCCCTCAACAAGTGCACACATGTGCCACCCACCGCTGCAACGGGCGGCAGTACGAGCGGTGCCGCCTGGGAGATGGCGAAGCGCCAGCACTCGGCCGGCGTCGCTGGGTCCCGCTCCAGGATGGTCAGCCCCTCGATGAACGTCCAGTAGCGGTCGATGCTCTCGTCCGCCTGGAGCCAGGGGACGTGCGGAGGCGCCGCAGAAATGTGACGAGGCACCAGCCGGCTCGAGGGGGCGAGGTGGTGGGGAGGTCATGGTGTGCGAAAAGCATGCCGCGGTTTGTCTCTTGCAAGCACATGTCGTGTCGTGGTCTTAGACATGTGGTGGCCATGCATTGGTCTTATACATGTGGCGGCACAAAACGGGCGTTTGCTGGCAAGCAAGCGCAGGACTCTGCATGGCAGTGCGGCTTCTGCTGGGTGCGGCGCGGCAGGCAGTGCGTTTGTGCGGCCAGGCGGGCACCGCACCAAGAACTCTGCTGCCTCCAGCAGGTACGGCGTTCCTTGCCAGCGCGCGCGCATGGTGATACTGGCTCCTTTTTGAGAGCCATGAGCGGCCAATGGTCCTGCCAAAAGCAGGCCCGATACTAGAAGGAATCCGATCATCCTTAGCGATGATCCTAGCTATTCACAGTTGTTCAGGCACATACATGATGCCACTTCCAGTCACAGGATGTACAAAAAGCCTCTAGATCACTGCTTCAAACACGTAACGATCTGATGAGCGATGAGAAGGGTCGCACGTTCAAAAGCCTAATCAGACAGATCAAGACACAGCGTGTACGGATGCACTGCAGCACTCAAGTGCGCCGCGAATAACATGCGTCTGGTGCAGTGCTGGTCTGGTGCAGTGCTGGTCTGGTGGTGACCAGCGGCACTTTGAACTTTGCACCCGCCCATCTACACACCCAAGGATCCCCCAACAGTCATGCAATATTGCATGCGACTGCAACCTGCTGGCGGCGCATCGTCACAACAACTCGGGGCTACATGGAAGGTCAAGAAATTCTTGTGCTAGACTGAACAGACTGTTGGTGCATCAGCTCGTGCAAGATGCTCCAAACAACAGTGTGGGCATGGAGGGTGTGAGTGCATTACATGACTGTTGATGTGACACACGTCATGTTTTAAACATCGTGTGCAGCCCATGATGTTGTTGGCTCAAGCGACACGCTGTGTACGCGTGGGGAGGAAAGCGGGGCTGGGTGGGTGGGTCGCTAGGTGCGATTATGGCAGTGCCGAGCGTCGTGGTGTGATTGGGAGTTTGGCTATTTGCGGTGTAGAGCCCGATTGGTGCAGCGCTGCCCTGGCTACAGGTCACATGGTTGCTGGTGGGCCAGGTCCAAGAAACCTCAAGGAGCTCGCTGTGGCACCAAAAGCAGCATGAGCGACACGTGTAGATCGGGCGACGGGCAGTCGCAGCGGAAATTGCGAGCTGCAAGTATCACTCCAAGCGCTAAGCGTACTCGATTATACATGCAAACATTATAACTTGCCATGAAGATCGCGCGTGTGCAGTTTGACTGACCGGTGCGCAATGCATTCGTTCCTCGCCGATGAGGCCGATGAACTCATCGCCAGGATTGAGGCCAGTGGAAGCAGCGGATTCTTGGACCTGCAGGCCCAGCTGGAGGTCGCTGGGCAGCTCCGTGCCGGCAGCGGCGAGCGTTCTGCTACTGCTGCTGCAAGCTCTCCAGCTGCGAGCTCACACACGGCGAATATGACTGCGGCCTGCTCGGCAGCATTGAAGCTTGGGTCGTTTCAGAGCTTCTACCGCGGCCGCGTGATGCAGCGTATTGCGGCACGGTCCATGCAAACACAGCGACTGGGGCAGCGGTACGCATCTAGCGGCGGCCTGCAGCTGTGGCCGCAACTCACGTCGGACGCTGGCGCCCATCAGCTGCGCGCACACGCCGCAACAGACCCCGGAGTTGTGAAGGGCGGCAGCTGCATCTTTGAGCCAGGAAGCTTCGGGGCATATGTGATGGCTCAGCGTGCACAGCGCGCTGCCCAGCACAGCCAGCAGCATGCCGCAGGCCTCATGGAGCAGCAGCGGGGCAACGGCGAGGTGCTGAATGCCTCATGGTCCATGCAACAGCAGCAGCAGCAGCAGCAGCAGCAGCAGCAG